TGTACTGAGCTGCTGCAGGCATTAAATGACTCACTACCTGTAACACGTAGACCGGAAAACTATCTGGTCCATAAAGTGTTCAATAAATAGTGTCCACCACCAATAAGCATCTATTATGCCTCATTTAAAAAAAAAAAAACCTTGATTGGTAAGACAAAGAAGGAAAACTTGGTTCATCAAGCCTGTTCTGGTGAAATCTTCAATACAGAAAATACAATGTATTCAACTGCCAAATAAAAATGAGTATTTAACAGACTGCAAACCAATATTTGGCAATATAAGCCCATTTACATAGAAATAATCACTAATAGATTCTACAAGGATAATCATAAAAACAAACCCCTGATTTGTGTTGTGATTTTTGCTGTGATCCTATTTACTTTTTCCTTTACATTTTTCTGACTCATTTTAACTTTCTACATTGAATTATGTGTTGTTTTTAATAAAGTAAAGGAGTTGGCAAACATTTTCCTTTGAAGGCCAGGTAGTAAATATGTTTACCGTTTACGGGCTATAAAGGCCTCTGTCCTAACTACTCAACTCACACCACAAAAGCAACCAGCTAAATGAGAGCATATGGCTATGTCCCATTGAAAATTTAATTTACATAAACAGGCAGCAGGTAGGACATTGCCCACAAGCTGTCAAGTTTACCCACCCCTGAAATAAAGAGAGAAACAAAACTGCTCATTTTGGAAAACAAAAAGAAAGTGCATCTGCTAAATTGACACTATTGATTGGGGGGAAGGCACTTGTTCATTTATTAATATATGTAAGAGTAGGGACAAAAAAATCAATTTTTTTATTTAGGCTCTGGAAATCCTCCTCTCATCCTTAGTGCCCCAGTAAGAGAAAGCGTGCTAAGGAGCCTAAAGTCTGAATGGGAACACATACTAGTAGCTAGGCAATTACAAACACAGGCAAAAAGAAATACCTTTCGTATTTAAATCGATTTGAAATTTCTTCAAATGTCGTAATTCACGACCAGTGGCTGCCACCAACAGGGCCTGAAGTCCCAACTAACTGATGAAAGGATTTTGGTTTTGGATCAGGACAGCATGGAAAAATTTATGAGAAGAGATGAAAACATCTATGGACAACTACCAGCACTAGAAGTGAAATTTCTATGAAATAAACATGAGGAGTGAAAAGAATCAGAAATGAACCGTCTATGAAAGTCTAACAGAATTAGAGTCAAGGGTGGTAAAACGAGACACTCAAGTGGCCTTTGGTAGGACACTTCAAACTTCAAAAAGTTTCTGATCTCCGCCCCAAAAATAAAGCTTTGGGTTGGAAGAAACTATTCTCAACATTTCACTTGGGACGCAATTTGAAATGTTATGACAAGATTTCTCGGAGTTTTAAATGGTTTCTTCGGAGGATGGATGAAGGGCTGCTTTGGGAGGAAATGCGAGGGGAACAACCCAGGGCTGAGGAGTCCAGAGTCTTAAACATAAAGACGTTAGCAGACCCCTCTGCTTAAAAAACACGCCGACCCTGCACAACAGTCCGCGTGCCGGGTACCAACACGGCGGGACCCATGCACCTTTCTACCCCGCGACCGCGCCAAATTGTCAAGCCCCAGCGGCGAACGAAAACAAGGTCTACAGCCAGGAGCGCCCACAGCGAGCTCCGGCACAGACGCCCAGGCCCGGAGCCGGTGAGCAGCCGCCTCGAGGGGCGACACCGACCGACAAATCGGGCCCAGGACCGGGTCCGACCAAGCCGCCTGCGCGCGGGCAAGCGCCAGTGAGGGGTCTCCCCGCCGCAAAAGCCGGATCCGGGCCCGAGCGGAGCCCACCTCGGAGTGCGGCCGGCAGAGACCCGGAGGGGTGACCCGGGGCCGAGGGGACCCGGGGCTGGCGATGGGGGCGAGAGGGGGGGACCTGGACCGAAGGAAGCCAGGACCCTGGGCCGGGGTAGCCGTGGCTGAAGGGGACCCGGGGCAGCGGGACTCGGGACTGAGGAGATACGAGGCTGGGGGAACCAGACTGCAGGGAGCGGAGGCTGAGAAGATTCCGAGGCTGAGAGGATACCGGCGGAGGGGGCCGGGGACTGAGGGGCGCCGGCCCAGGGGTCGGAGCAGGAGACCGAATAGCGCGCTCCTCGCCCGCCGCGCTGCCGGGACACCTGCCCTCAGCCCTCGCCCCCGCCAGCCCAACCTCCCTCCCCAGAACCGCGCTCCCACTCGAGAACCTCACCAGAGCTCGCCGCCGCCTCGCCGCACGTCTCGAGCTCCTCGGAACCGCGGCCGCTGGAAGCCCAGAGGAGCGGAGGTGGCGCCCACTGCCGCCGCCGCCGCCGCCGCCGCGACCCAGCGTCCGGGAGTCTCCTACAGCTGCCGCCGCCGTGACGCTAATCACACGAGGCGGCCCTAGCCAATGATAAGGCGCCTCGTGCGCAGCCGCGCTGGTCGAAGCCGGAAGCGCCCCCTGGCCGCTCCCGGACCCGGAGCAGCTTGGGTGGGTCGGGAATCTAGCGGGAGGCGCCGAGCACCCAGGGACACGGAAGTCCCTTAGCTGTCCTCCCACCGGAAACGGGAGCAAGTGCAGCGGAAGAGGCGTGGCCGGCCGGCTCGGGACGCTTCCCGGTTTCTATGGATACGGCCCGCAAGCCGCGGGCGGAACCGAAACAAGGGATTGCTAGACACAGTCGGAGGCGGCTTCAGACCTAAACGCGTAGCGTCTTGCCACAAGATAACGGCGATTGCTTTTTATTACCTCACGGAGACACTCCCATTTGTGCCTCACGACTTCCAGAAAACGAATGTGAGCCCGCTCCTCTTAAAAGTATAAAATTCAGAGCCATTCTAAAAATGTTTCAGTGTAATAGCAGATCAGAAACTAACTCAGCAATACTGTGTCCATTTGCCCAAAACGATTTATTTTCTACTTGTTTCAACTGAGCTTTAACTTCTTTAAACCCAAAATCTGCCTGCATACTTATTCTATAAGAAAACAAAGTGTAAAAAAAAAAAAAGAAAAGAAAAAGAAAACAAAGTGTAGAAGTTGGCCGGTGTAGAAAATGTTTTCTTCACATTCAGTGCTCTGAAGAGGTTATATTGCCTTAACTGTCAAAAAATCTTGTTATACTAATTAAAGGAAAGCTATAAGCTTTCAAGGCCGCCCATGCCCCAGGCTTGTCCATCCTGAAACTGAGTGGCACCTTGTGAGGCTCCCAGGCATGGAGGCCTCGTTTTTATGTCCCCCATTTCCTGTAAGCAAGACTCTACCTTCCACGTCCTTCCCTGAGTTCCAAAGGGCAGATTTGAACAGTTGCTAATCAAGGGAGGAGACGCCAAGAAACCACCTGAGGCAAGATTAAAGGGACCAGAGAAGTTTAGATAGATTAGGAGACCACGTGAGACCCCGCCGGGCTTCCCTCCTAGCTCAAACGGCAAAGAATCTGCCTGCAATGCAAGAGACCCAGATTCCTGGGTCAGGAAGATCCCCTGGAGAAGGAAAGGGCAACCCATTCCAGTATTCTTGCCTGGAGAATCCCATGGACAGAGAAGCCTGGCAGGCTACTGTCCTTGTAGTTGCAAGAGTTGGACACACCCTAATCTTATCAACAACCCCCACCCTTGGGAAATATTGCTGTATAAATGCATGCATGCTCAATCATATCTGACTCTTTGCGGCCCCCTTGACTGTACCCTGCCAGGCTCTTCTAAAACTCCTTATCAAATCCTCCTGGATAAGAGGGCTCTCACCCAACAATGCTGGCACCCTGATCTTGAACTTCTAGCCTTCAGAACTATGAGAAATAAACTTAACGTTGTTTATAAGCTTTAAAAAAAAAGTTTCCTGGGTGGGGACACATTTTTTCAAGGCCTACTATATCCACCTCTGCCTGGCAAAATAATAAAGCTATCCTTTTCTACTTCACCCAAAACTCTGCCTCTGAGATTCAGTTCCCCACTGGTGTACAGAGACGCTGAGCTTTCAGCATCACTCCCTGGGACCATACCAAAAGAAAAAACAAAGGAAGCTGGAAAAGCGTCACAGATCTCATATCAAAAGACCTAAGGTCTGATACATAAGGAAAAAATGTGTATAATAGAGAACTCTTCAGCCTGGAAATGTAAAATCTGAGAAGTGATTAAAGCTACTAAAATCAGAAAAAGCATGAATAAGATGGTCTTAATACTAGTATTTTAGAATGCTGGTATTAAGTCTGCCCAGGTAAGCTTGAAAAAAGCCGACAAGGTCTTCCCTGGTGGCTCAGTGGTAAAGAATCTGCCTGCCAATGCAGGAGATACAGATTCGATCCCTGGTCTGGAAAGACCCCCACACACCAAGGAACAACTGAGCCCATGTGCCACAACTACTGAGACTCTGCTCTGGAGCCCAGGGGCGGCAACTACTGAGCCCTAGATCCCATACTCTGCATTAACAGAAGCCAGCACAATCAGAAGTGTGTGTACCACAACTAGAGTAGCCCCTACTCTCCACAACTAGAGAAAGAGCTCCCAAGGCAAGGAAGAGCCAGCACAGCCAATAATAAAATACATAAATAATTTTTTTTTTAAAGCAGACAACCTTGTACTTCTACAGCACCTCAGAAACAACGCCAGTGTGTCTGCACAGCGAATTTGACTTACAGAAGGCAGAGAGAACTGGGGCCTCAGGCTTAATGAGAGGTCTACTGAGGACGACAGAGCTACATAAAGACGAGATTGTTCAAGGACTTCAAACTTTATCTGCATCCTTCTGTAGGTGATTTTGTTTGACAAACCAAAGCACTTTACTCTGGAGCAGTCCTTGCCCTGATGAAACACATGAGAGAGAGCCTTGTCATTTTCCCCCCAAGATTTACCTCCCATTCTGTCATCATGTTCCCGCCCCCAGATCACTGCTGCCAGTTCCTGATGCCCCCCCAAAGATGAAACAAACCCCACCATTTCTTCAGAATGCTCACACCTTCGCAGTCAGTGAAGACATTGTCACCATCCCCAACCTGAGGGACTGTCTGTGAATGGCCTCACCCATATCTCTTACCTAAAGTTCACCATTAAATATCCCAAAGCAGATTTTTCAGGTCTCTCTTGCCAAATGTCCTTCAGTTCCTAATCTTTGTATGTTGTCTTCTAAGTAGCCATGCAAAAATCAAGGGGAATTCAGTCAAATTCTGCATCCTCCAGTGTCAGCTGGATCTTTAGAATGTGGGTTCCCTCCATTCTGAAGGTGTCCCACTTCTCCACAGGAGAGTGGAGTACTTCCTCTCAACAGCACCCAGAAAAGAGTCCCTTCCACCCCTACTCCCCATCCTAGCCACCAGTGACCCAACACTGCCCAGCTGCATAGCTAGTTGGATGTGGTCATTGGTACAATGACCAGATGCTGCTGACAGAGAGGCGCGTCACTGGGTAACATTCATAATCCAGGTGCGGTCACTCCATGATGAGGCATCAGGGGCGCTATGTGGTGCAGCTGAAATGGTGACAATGGACTTGCTCTGAGGACAGGCTCAGCCTGCATTGTGATCTGCAGGTCAACAGCCAATGAGAACTAAGGAGGTCCCCAAAGTGAGCAGCAAGTGAAGGTGCAGCTTTCAAATTCTGAAGCATAAAGAAAATGCTCTAGACCTCATAGTGAATTTAATTTTGGGATCCCAATTGGTTTGGTTTTTTGTTTTTTTTTTTTTTTGGTGGCCGGGGGTGGCAGTGAGGGGGAGCGAAGTTTGTTTCCTTCTCCAATAAAGAAAAGAGAAATTATTTCATTTGTTATTTTTTAATCAAAGCAATTGCTATTTTTAAGAGAAAAAAAGACAAATTATTCTACTAGTGACAATCAAAAGTATCAGTGTTCTTTGAAAGAACTTTTCAAAGTCTACAGCTTTTCCAAAAAGAAAAATTACAAAAGGAAATTTACAGCTTCGTTATTACACAATACCTAAAACCAACCTAAACTTTTCTTTTCTCTTCCAATATCTCTAAGTTTTTGAAAGATAAACATCCAAAGTAAGGGGGAAGAAATCTGGGCAACGTGGGGAATGGACCATAAAAAAGAGAAACCAAGAAAAAAAGAGCAAGAAACATCAAACCAGCCCTTGTGTTTGTCTCATATATATGTTGTAGAAAGGGGGAAATTTATCTATACCCTCTTAAGTTTTGTGGTGGGCCTAAGGAGTAAACAGAGATAAGACATTCACAAGAGAAAAACTTATAAATTTAATATTTTTACACAGGAGTCTTCAGAAAGAAAGTGAAGACGTGAAAAATTCATTAGAGCCAAAAGCTTATATTCCTTTTTACACAAGAAGAAATTGTGGTGATGCTACAAGATAAAGGGGCTTTGGTGAGGGGCAGTAGATTGGGGTGACCCAACAGTGCCCTGCAGTAGAGCTAGTTGGATGTGGTCATCTGCACAAACTGGAGGACAATACCTAGGAAATATGCTGCAGGTACTCATGAAAGGTCAGGCTCACTCTAGTGGAGTTCTCAGTACAGGTCCATTTTGGTTTAGGTCAGCTCCCAGTCTAAGGAGATTCTTCAGAGTCATCACGCTGTACACCGTAAGCTTATACAAAGTTTAACGTCAATCTCTCTCAAGAAAACTGGGAGACAGAAAGATAAAAGAATGTTCTCTTCCTGTTGTAAGTGTGAGGCGAGCAGAAGTAAGGCCATGGCAGGCAGCTTAGATGAGGAGTAGGCCTTCCTACTTCCCGGTGGTAAGATTATCAGGCCACCTGGATACAACCAATCAGCTTAACACTGACCGCTGTTTGCCAATTAGGAACAGGGCGGAAACCCCCGGGAAAATCCCGAGCGCGCTAAAGTTTTGAGTGTGTTTGACCAATGAAATTGCTTTGCAAACTTGTAACCAATCCGCTTAAACCAACTACCAACGGCGTGTCCTCACCCTATAAATTTGTGTAACAGCGTGGTCTCGGGACTCTCTGATCCCGCACCACTGCATTGGATGAGGCAGGAGCCCTGACTCCAGTCAGCAATAAACTTCCCTTTTTGCAAGTTGCATTGTCTTTGAGGCCTTCTCTCTTCCCGCTTGGGGATTTGGACATCGGGCATAACATAAGGAGGTACCTTTTTCATGGGAACTGTTAGGACCTGCTTTTAGGTAGAAAGGAGGAGGGTTGCGACTTCCCCGGCTGTCCGGCAGTTAAGATTCCTCACTCCCAATGCAGGAGGCATCAGTTCAATCCCTGGTCAGGGAACTAAGATCCCACATGCCAAGCAATGTGGACAAACAATTTTTAAAAATAAATTTTTTTAAGAAGAAGAAGAAAAGAAAGGGAGAGGGAGAGTAAAGATCCCTTCCTGTATCCCAGTTGTCCTCAGCTCACAATAATAAATACACCAAAGAGGCATACTTTGGGGTTATGTATTCAGGACCTCTTCAGTGTAGCCCAGATGGTAAAGTGTCTGCCTACAATGCGGGAGACCCGGGTTCAATCCCTGGGTCAGAAAGATCCCCTGGAAAAGGAAATGGCAACCCACTCCAGTATTCTTGCCTGGAAAATCCCATGGACTGAGGCGACTGGTAGGCTACAGTCCATGGGGTCGCAAAGAGTCGGATACGACTGGGTGACTTCACTTTCTTTCTTCTTTCACTTTCCGTGTAGAACCAATGATCAAAAGCAGCCAGCTAATCGGACTTTGAAGCATTGGGATTCAATGCTATTAACTGCTTTGAAACTAATTCACAGGAGAAATAGAAATACATCAATATCTGTATTCTGGCTTATTGTTCAGTCACTGAGTCGTGTCCAACTCTTTGTGACCCCATGGACTGAAGCACACCAGACTTCTGAGTTCTTCACCGTCTCCCAGAGTTTGCTCAACAAACTCATGTCCATTGAGTTGGTGAGCTATCCAACCATCTCATCCTCTGTCGTCCCCTTCTCCTTTTGCCTTCTCCTTCTCTAGAATCAGGGTCTTTTCCAATGAGTCAGCATCAGGTGGCCAAAATATTGGAGCTTCAGCTTCAGCATCACTTGTTATTCTGGCTTAATTGTGATTAAACTGATCTCAAATACATATTATGATTGAAAAAAAAAACGACATTCATCTTAGATTTCCAAGGAGTCCATTTCAAATGCTCAGGAAAACATCACAACACCCTAAACTCTCATTTGTGCCACATGGTGGTCATGTTTAAAACTGAGGATAGACCGCAGTATAAACATTCTGGTAATCGTATAAATTACATTAGTGACTTCTCAAGCAGGGGTTAGGTAACATGGCTCTGGGGAAGCAGCAGCATTACCAGTGAGCTGCTGACTCACCACTCGGCTATGGCCTGTGTGTTATCTCTTGCTAAGCTTTGTATCATCACCAATGAAAAGAAGATGCTTGCTACTACATTTTTTTTAATGGACAGAAAGAAAACATACAGCTTTGTGGATGTGATTGACACTGGGGAAAGGTAGAAGATAGGTCTGAGGACTAAGAAGGCTTCATCTTTATCAGTAATATTTCATTTCTGCTACGTGAAAAAAGCTAAAGCAAATGACAAAAGTGTTTAACATTTATTAATCCTGGGTGCTGTGGTTGTCTATTAGCATCCTCTCAGAATATCTTTTATAGTTTGTTAAAATAGGCTTTTAAAATAAAATGTTAAGATAGGGAAAGATTAAAGGCCGAGGGAGAAGAGGGCGGCGGAGGGTGAGACGGTTATATAGTGTCACCAACTCAGTGTCCCTGAACTTGAGCAAACTGAGGGAAAGAGTGGAGGACGGGGGAGCCTGGCATGCTGCAGTCCATGGGGGTCCCAAAGAGTTGGACATGTCTTAGCAACTGATCAACAACAAAATAGGCTTTATTGAAATATATTTTACATACGATAAGATGCACCAATTTTTTGTGTATAAAAGGATTCCCCAATCAAGTTAATGAACATACCAAAACCTCATTTATTTACTTTCTTTTTGTGTGTGTGAGAGAACCTTTAAGCTCTACTCTCTAATTAAATTTTGATTATACAATTCAGGGACTTTGCTGGTTGATCCAGTGGTTAAGATTCTGCCCTTTCAATGCAGGAGATAGTGGAAGGGAAACTAAGATCCCACATGCCACAGGGTGCGACCAAAATAAAATAAAATAGTGTCCTCGGATTTTGGTAATGTTGATGAAAACTTAATCAGTCGATCTAAGAAAAAAATTGGAAAATTTATCCCAGACAAATTTGAGGATTATAACCTGGGAAGAGGATCTCAGAAAGCTCTGAGAACTGTCCGTCCCACTAGAAGTCAAGACATAGCTTATTTAAGACATTTTTGAGACAGAGGGCTGTACATTAAATGACATACTATTGACAGTTTACCTAATCCAGGTTGAAGTGCCATCGTGGTGGGTCATGTGACCCTTTACAAGATCAAGAAGGAATGTTATCTCTTAAGGAGTTGTCTGTTGGTTCAGGGAGAATGTTGCTGTTTATGGCTAAGCAGGTATTTCTGCTTATAGGGGAGGTTCAGTTGATGCCTAGTGCAAACACATAATGCACAGTGGGGAGAGGGGAGGTCAAGGGGCAGATCATTTTATGTTTAAATTTTTTCTCATCTTGTCATAAATATGAATTCTATCTTTACTGTAACTTGAAACTTCAGTCTTGCAAAATTAAATTAAATTATGAGAATTAATCGAGAAGCTGTCTCCCGGGTTGTCATTCTCACTGGAACACTAAACAAATGCTACTGTACTCACAGCTCTTAGGTTTTGCGCTTGTTTCCAGTCCACAGTTAGGACCATCTCATAATGGTTTTAATTTGCCTTTTCCTGATGACAAATGACATTGAAAGTTTAATCACATACTTATTGGCCATTCTTTTCTTCCGCAATGTGTCCGTTCAAATTTAAATCTTTTGCCTGTTTAAAAAAAGATAGATTGTTTCCCTCCTTATTATTGAATTGTAACAGTTCTTTGCTCACAAGTCCTTTGCTAAAATAAAAAGCAAGCAGAAAAAAATTTTTTAAGAACTCTAGTGTTACATAATATTTCAGTTACAAAGGGCTCTTTACATGTAGTCTCTCATTTGCTGTGAGAATGCAAATAGAAACCAAAAAGTTTTAATTACCATAAACACATAGTAACAAAGTTTTGTGTTAGAAAGTACAGAAACTGAAAAAAAAAAAAACAGGAAATGGAGGTGAAAATCAATAAAGAAAAAATTAGTTTCATAAGTAAGTTAGAAGCAGCCGTTGGTTTAAAGTCTGTTTTTTCTTAAGGAAAAATTCAAGACAGCATCTGTTCTGCTTAGCAGCTCCTTAGGCAATCATCCCCCACGCAGAAAGCTGTGAGCCAAAAAAAAGAGCATTTGTTGCGCTAAACTTTAAAACCTGTAATACAAAGTAGTTCATGTGCTATGTGCGAACTATGTGCTAAGTCACTTCAGTTATGTCCAACTCTTTTGACTCCATAGATTGTAGCGCGCCAGGCTTCTCTGTCCATTTGATTTCCTTAGGCAAGAATGGAGTGGGTTGCCATGTCCTTCTACAGGGGATCTTCCCAACCCACACCTCTTATGTCTCCTGCATTGGCAAGCAGGTTCTTTACCACTAGAGCCACAAA